CCTTTTTACACCTCCCTTTCTTCATGTGTTCAATACTTTTTCCCTGTGCCATTCCACATTATTACAAACTTGGGTTGTTACCGACATCTGGTGAAAATTTCATGTCATTAACACCTCTAGTAATATATTTACTGAGAAAAATGTTGACGTGTTCAATACTTATTTTACCCGCTGTATGTGTGAGAGGAGAATATGTGGGTTTTTTCCAGTTTGAAGGATATATTCCATTCTAAATCCCTGGTGTGACTTTAAACATGAAGCTCCTCTCTGGTGACTTACAGCCATGTAAGGCCTGCAGCCTGCATCTCTTGTCTTGGCTATAGAATCCACCAGCTGACCACTGATACCAAAATCACACAGTTTGATGTTCCCCCTTCGATCCATTAGGATGTTGGAAGGTTTGATGTCTAAAACATACAAAACAGAAMAACATCCATTCAGTGAAATGTAACCTAAAAACTGAAATCTTTTACTGCTTTAACAAAATAAAAATGAACATACCTCTGTGAATTATTTTCAAGTTTTCTTTTAAGTGGTTCAGTGCTTTAACAGTCTGTTAAAAATGACAACAAAACGTTTTTGGTTATTTTTTGATACTCTGCACACATAAACATGTAAAATATAARGAGCAAACATGATACAGGTGCTTACAGCTAATGTTATTTTGCCTAAAATTTCCTCTGGAATGACATCATCTAATGAACAATATACATATTTGTAGAATTTGTCTAATGAGGTAGACATAAGCTCCATGCAGATCCAACAGTCGCCCTGAAACAGATAAAAACAGACTGGTTTAATTTTAAAGTTCATTTAGTGATGAAATGAGAAACAATCTGCTGATTCTCAGTGAATCGTTAGGACCGGACCTCTCTGAAGAGGGCGCCGTAGAACTGGACGATGTAAGGACAGTCGCTGCTCCTCATCACCACATCCAGATCCATGAGCAGCTGCTTTTGCTCCTTCTCATCCACGGTGGAGCGAATCCTCTGAGGAGAACAGAAAACATGAACTTTTCTGATAGATACTGATAGTTTATGTTTTTTCTATTCACTAAAGAACAAGTTTTACTATGATGAGTACAATAAAAACTTTAACAAATATGACATCCTTTAAAATAATTCTGTTAACATTCAGCGGAACGCTCGCGTGCCATTTTTGTTTCATTTTATTTTGAAAGGTCGTTCTGTGTTTCTGTGCATCCTGTGTCCATGTTCAATGCATCAAAATGGACGTCTAGGCCGTCCTCTTTCGATTGACACCTCATTTGACCAACTGGGTTCAAGTATCAGCTGTCCAGAGCCAATAATATATGAGAAGTGGCCAACTTCTGGTTTCTGTCATCCTGGGTTTGAGAGATTAAACATGCACAAAAAATTTAAAAAAGATAATTAACAGTAAAAGTTACGGAGTTAACTATCTAAAGTTGCGAGCAGCTGCCATCTTGAAATCTAAACTGGGGGCAGTTTAATTTCTTCCACTTTACGAGTGGAATATTACCACTGGAGGGGGCGTTCCAGTTTAAATCTACCAATGGGAACTGGGAAATTACCACTTCCAAGGACTAATGGAACGCAGCTTTAGTCTTCACGCTAGCCCTGACACTACATTGCCTTATACATATTAGCTCAGCGCTAGCGCGACAAACAAGCTAAACTG